GCGTCAGGCGGTCTGGGTCCGCAACTGCCTTGAGAGGTCATCACTGCCGCTGGGGACGATGCCGTACCAGCTGCACCAGGAAGAAGCCCGACTTGTCGCTGGCGCGCGTGTGGGGCTGCATGGCGCAGTTCCTGGTCCTCGAGCAACAGGGCGGTGGGAAGCTAAAGCCGAAGGCCAGGTGTGGCCTCCACCTCGGTGTGTCGGAGGAGAGCAAGGGCTGGGAGCTCCTCGACCTCACCGATAACCGGGTGGTCACCTTGTCGGACGTGGTGCTCTACGAGACGCTGTCGCTGGAGGTGTGGAAGTCGCAGCACGGGCCGGCGTCGGGGCGGGCGCAGGCCTACCCGCCGACGGACACCTCCACGGCGACGCTCCTTGTGCTCGCCGAGGTCGATGTGCTTGCTGTTGCGGACACCGAGGACGTCCGCCCCCTCTCCCCTTTCCCTTCCCCTCCTGCCCCTCCCCTTGTAGCCGACCTGAGTGGGCTGACCCCGGTGTCGGCCTCCGGCGATGAGGGGAGCGAAGGCATGTCACCCGTGACGCTCGCTAAGAGCATCGCCGGTGGCCGACGTGGCGTCGAGCAAGTCGGCGTGGAAGAAAAGCCGCCGACGACAGGGGAGCCGAGGGTCGAGAGGAAGCAGCTGACTTTGGTGGGGCCAGCGACGGAGGCGTCAGCAGGGAAGCAGCTGGCGGGGGATCGGTCAGCAGCGACGCCGACCGAGGAGCAGTCGGGGACCGGGCAGTCGGCAGGGGAGCCGACGACAGGGGAGCGGTCGGCTGGTACGCCGACTGAGGTGCAGCAGGACGACGAGGGCAGCGAAGCTGGTCACGATGAAGGGGAGCAGTCGAGCGCTAAGGGCTCAACCGGCAGCGATGTGGTGGAGGTCCCGCCTAGACCTCCACGTTCAGGCCAAGCTCGGAGGCAGCCTGACTTCTTGTCCTACCATGCGTGCCTGCCGCCAGCTACCTACACCACGGTGTACGACGAGACCGATGATGACCTGCTGTACGACGACGCCGAGGACGCCGTCGACCTGCTGGAGCTCGACCCCGATATGCACGCCGACCCCGAGCACCGTTGGGATATCTCCACGATGACGGTGAAAGAGGCGTTGGCGAGCTGGAAGGGCAAGGCGGTGAAGGCCGCCATGGACGAGGAGATCCGCAGCCTTCTCGCCAACGGCACTTGGGAGCTGGTCGAGCGACCCTCCGGGGTGAACGTCATGAAGAACTGGTGGGTACTGATCACGAAGTACCACATCGACGACACCGTCGAGCGCGAGAAGGCGAGGCTGGTCGTGAAGGGCTTCACGTAGGTGTATGGCACTGACTACGACGAGATGTACGCGCCGCTGAGCAGCTACATTATGCTGAGGATCTTCCTCAGCATCGTCGTCGTCCTCGACCTCAACCTGATGCAGCTCGACATGAAGAACGCCTTTCTGCAGAGCAAGCTCGACCGGGTGCTGTACATGTACCAGCCGGACTACTACAACGACGGGACCGGCCGGGTGTGCAAGCTGCTGAAGAGCCTGTACGGGCTGAAGCAGTCGCCGCTGCTGTGGTACCGGGTGCTCGACGTCATGCTTCTGGGCGCCATTTGGAAGAAGAGCCAGGTCGACGAGGCGTTGTACTTCAAGGTCAGCGATGACAGAATGGCCTGATGGGTACTGGTCTACGTCGACGACCTGCTCGCCGCCAGCAGCAGCACCGTGATGCTGAAGGAGCTGAAGGAGCTGCTAGAGGCCGCCTTCGAGCTGCGCGAGATCTTGCGAGGGTTTGGGACCGCAGGGCAACCTCTAGCGCATGGAGCGGCGATACGCCTGGCTGCGGCACATGGTGAGGCGCGGGAAGTTTACACTGAAGTACATCCTGACAACCGAGCAGCCGGCCGACTTTCTAACAAAGGCGCTGCACTATCCGGCCTTCAACCGGTGCTCCATCGCAATCGGCCAAGTGCGCTTGGCCGACGTCGGCGACGGTGACGACGACGTGCAGCAGTAGGTGCCGTGCCCTTCTGCACGGCTGGTGCGGTGATCAGCGTGTTGTGCGTTGTGTGCACGCCGGGGACAACGAGCTATTCTCCGAGTAGTGGTGCCGTGTGGGCTGGAGGCCCAAGCGTGAACGCGGCAGGGGAGTGTCAACGAGAGTTATGTTGTTGGCCCTGTCCTCGCTTGGGCGGAGCCGACTTTGTGGTCGGGTGCGGGGGAGCTGCAGCCGACCTGCAGCAGTGGGCGAGCCGGTCGACGGGCTGTATCGACCAGCACAGGGCCACTGCAAGCCGCGGACTATGGGATGCCGGCGGCCTCTACGGGTGGTCGACAATGGGTTCGTCGACAAGGGGAGGGCGCCAACTTTGGAGGGCGCCGAGTTCGGGGGGGGTCGGTCTGGCGGGGCCGTCCTCGGAGGCGTCGACTTGGTGACGCCGACCTGGGGAAGCCGACCTGGTGTGGTCGACCAGTGGTGGTCGTCGACCTGGGTGGTCGATGAGCGCGAGGAGAAGCTGTTGGTTGCCGGGGTTGCCCGGTCGACCGAGTTACTCGAGTGATGGGGGTCAGCCGAAGTGCGCGACGGTCGCCCAGATGGTTCCTGCGAAGCCGACCTCGGAAGTGGTATCCCGAGGTCGACGTGGCTGGTGGGCGCAGTCGCTGGCGTGTTCTCGGCCTGACGTCTGCACTGTACACGTAACGGGGCATGGCACACCAACCAGCCATGCGCACCTGCGAAGCAGGTGCACCGCAGTTATGCAGATGCAACACTGTGCAACCGCCTTGCTGCAGCATTGGCACGACGTAGACTTGCAACGTTGACAAGCCGCTTCTCTGCTGCGCTGGAGCGGTGCGAGCTCTGCAGCGCGGTCGACCGTGCTGCGTTGGAGGTTGACTTGGATGCTAGCTAGCTTTGATGTAGTCTTTCTTGCCAATGTTGTTACTATCATCATTCTGAACCTTTGTTGTCAACTTTTGCTAGTGAAACTCTATCCGAATTTCCCCGTGAATGCGCAAGTAGTAAAGGCACGAGTAAACGACTAAGAAACGAACGCAAAGATCACATCTACCCCGTGCCTTCCCCGTAGTCAGGCTCCCGTTGCTAGAGTTATCTCCGCAGTGGATCCATACACGTGATAACTATTCCACTTCCCAGTTTTTGGAACATGATCAGGCTAAACGAGACAACACAGCTAGAGCTGACTACAACTATAGAATATTGTGCTTACAACTACCGTATTCCCCCGGATAGAAGACCCCCCCCAAAATACAACACCCCTGGGTACCTAATACGGGGGGGGGGGGGGGGGGTACTTTATTAAACCTCGATTTCGTTATACCCCCCCTTTGGGGGGTGACTAATATAAGCCCCCCCCCTTTCCCCTACAGGGGGGTTTGCCATGTACTTTTCCTTTGTTTCGTTTGAACCTGAAACATTCTATAGTGCGAATTTGGCTGTCGGGCATGTCAGGGGGTTGATTTGCTATGTCAGGGTGCGTCAGGGGGCGAATTTGTTGCGTCGGGTGGCGAAATTGCTGTGTCTGGGGGCGAAATTGCTGCGTCAGAGGGGCGAATTTTACTGTGACTGGCGAACTTGTTGTGACTGGTCAATCGATCAACTTTGGCTGGCTTGTTGCTCACCAAAAGCATGCCCACAACTTCAGTATTAATTGTAGTGTAGAAAACACTAAAATAAAATATGTCGTATAAAAAGACCCGGGTACTATTTTTTTTTCTCCTTTGCTAAGACCCCTACCATTTTTTCTAGGGATTTAGCTTAAGACCCTAGGGTCTTATATCCGGGGGAATACGGTATAAAAAAATGAACGCATGTAACGTTTTGTGGTATTTGTGCATCACTTTAGCCTCTGGTCCCACTATAACAGTGCCACTGGGCACCTGGAGGGCTCACTTTACATCTGCAACAGTCGCTCCTCTCGGGTCAGAACACCAATTCTTCACCAAAAAAAGGCAGCGAAGGAACGAGAATTAGAGAGTAGTCCTCAAACAGAAATGAGGTGTACCTCCGAAAGTGTTCAGTGCTTCTTGTTACATCTGTTCCAATAACTTTTTTTAACTAGTATAATACAATTGAGTGTACGATTGCAATGATGAAGAGAAAAGTGGAAAGAGAGACAAAGAGGAAAGAGAAAAGGAAAGCGGAAAGGAAAGGGAAAAGGAAAGTAAACTGCAAAAGAACGCGGTTGCACTTCCCGAGTGGTACTACTTCATGAAGCAAGACTTGTGAAGTCTATAAGAGCGTGTTACGTACCCCTTATTTTGGGGCCCGGTCGCGGTTGCCTCAAACATGCCGGTTGGGTTGAACGTAGGGTTACCGGATAACCCTACGCTCTACAGTGTACAGTAATGTACGTGCGTACCACACCCATCTGGCAGCTGGTCGAGGCAACCACGTAGTCGGGCAACCGACTGGTCTCGACCAGGTACAACCGTATTCAGGCAACCAGGGTTGAACGTACCTAACCGCCGCGCAAACAGAGGGTGCACGAAAACATTGCGGGCAGGTTGCACTAGCGGGAATTGATGTGACTGGTGCAATCAAAATTTCATCAAATTTTGGCCACTAAGATTGACACAGCGACTGTTGGGTCTACCCGAAATACTGTTGGCACGGTTGGGTCCCAAAAGCAGGCGAGTGGTACATTTGCAGGTTGCCTGCTAGGTACCCAACCGGCCAAGTTGACAGCCCCGGTTGACCTGACCAGTCAGGTTGAGTCGACTTTTGGAGGCAACCGGGGCCTAACACCAAAATAAGGGGTACGTAACACGCCCTAATGTATGGGAGAAAGCAATCAAGATGAATGAAACCGCCATAATTATCAACAGTTCCACAGCAGTACAAACCCATCCGCAATGCTCGTTTTGGGGCGGACCCAAATGTGACGTATCAACTTCGACTTGATTGAGTGAAGGTCAACCTTTAGATGCTTCTTAAAGAACTTCGAAGTTCATACGTGTCCGCCGCGTGCAACGGACAGCGCGCGTGCAATCATGATAATTCTCGAAAATAGTAGTTTCCCGCCAGGATTTCGGTTCCGGCCGACGGACGAGGAGCTGCTATGCTACTACCTCAGGCGGCGCGTGGAGGGCCTTCCCATCGCATGGAACGCGATTGGCGACGTGGACCTGTACAAGTCCGAGCCTTGGGAACTGCCAGGTACTGCCTCAAACATCATTTCAACCCCACAGCGTTTCCGAACATCATTTGGGAGTCCCAGTCCCCTTCCCGCTCTCGTCCAGTCCTGTTCTGAAGGACTCCGAAGCTTTTCAGGCGCGTGTTGCATTAGTATGCTATTCTCAAAGGCTGATACCCCGCGCAAAGCGGCGTGGGAAACAAGCGCGGGGCAGGAACTGATGACTGATTCTATCAATATTAAGTTAAATCACACAAATCTTACCCAACCCCTCCCCTCCCCTCCCCTCCCCCACTACCTCCTTCCCCCCCCCCCCCCCCCCCCCCCCCTCTCCCCCCTCCCCCCCCCCTCCCACCTTTTTTTCTCCCTTTTCTATCTGCACTCCCATGTTTCATTAACAGCCAGAGCAACAACTCCTATAGCTGAAGCGGCAGTTGCCTAAAGAACACACATCACTCTCCGTCCCCGTGTCAAGAACACCCAGAGAACCCAGCCTCACTGCAAAAGAACCCAGCCTCACTGCAAAAGACAAATAGAATGGCCGATAGCTGCGGATGAAGGAAGTACTCCTTCCCTTCTCACCAGCAAGTTACTGACATTTACTGGTTGTTCCTCTCTTGGAAGAATCTCGATTTTCCTTTCATTCCTCCCGCTGTGCCACTCCCAGCCAGAGCAACATGCCCTATTGCTGGTGACGGCGAGTGGTTCTTCTTTGCAGCCCGCGACCTCAAGTACCCATCAGGGTCAAGGTCCAACAGAGCCACAGCTGCTGGGTACTGGAAGGCCACTGGGAGGGCCAGGCCAGTTCACGTGCGGCTGACAGGGAGCAGCGGTGGTAACGATGGCAAGGGGGAGCCGACAGACAGGCTGGGATTCAAGAAGACTCATGTCTTCTACACGTAAGTTCAGTGCTTACTTCTCCCACCCGCTCGTGAGTCGACTCAAAAGCAAAGGGGAGCAGATATGCAGGCTGGGATTTAAAAAGACTCGTTTCCTCTATATGTTCAGTGCTTGCTTCTCCCCCCCTCTCCTCTCCCTTCCCCACCCGCTCCTCTCCTCTCCCCCCCCCTCTCCTCTCCTCTCCCTCTTCCCCCCCCCCCCCCCCATCCTCTCCTCCCCCCACCCCCCCCCACCCCCCCCACCCCTATCCTCTCCTCCCCCCTTCCCCCCCCCCCTCTTCCCCGGTCTCAAACACGATGTTGGCTTGGGGTGGGACGTCGGATTGCTCGAATATTTCGAAATGCTTGTTCTGGTATTTGGATTGTGTCTCTGCATCTTTGTGTCTCTGCATCTTTGTGTCTCTGATTTTGTGTGTGTGTGTGTGTGTGTGTGTGCGTGCGTGCGTGCGTGCGTGCATGCGTGCGTGCGTGCGTGTGTGTCTGTGTGTGTGTGTGTGTGTGTGTGTGTGTGTGTGTGTGTGTTTGCAAATGTGGCAATGCAACAGGGGCCGGGCGCCAGGAGGGGACAAGACTGACTGGGTCATGCACGAGTACCGGCTGGCAGAGGATTCGCCTGTAGCTGGACCGGCTGCTACAGACAATGCACACGCTACAGATGCTACAGACAATACACCTGCTGCACATGCAACAGCCGGATCGGATCCAGCAGCAGTAGCAGCTGCACACGCACCTGCTACGCATGAAAGCATCGCAGATGGTGTGGATACAGCAGTGGGTGCTGTAAAAAGCAGAAACAACAGCAGAAAATATAAAGCGACCAACCCAGACACCAGAGGTGTGGGTGGTGCTGCTGGTGGGGTGGCCGGCAGCAGCAGACGCCTCGAAGCCATCATCCCAGCGCTTCAAGCTGGCATCGCTCAGAGGATCGGCGCAGCGGCGTGGGTGGTTGTGCGGGTAGTCAAGAGAAGCTCCCTGACAGCTGAGGAGCAAGCGATGGTGGCACGCCAGGGGATGGCCGCACAGCAGGGGATGGCAGCACAGCAGGGGATGGCAGCACAGCAGGGGATGGCAGCACAGCAGGGGATGGCAGCACAGCAGGGGATGGCAGCACAGCAGGGGATGGCAGGACAGCAGGGGATGGCAGCACAGCAGGGGATGGCAGCACATCAGGGGATGGCAGCACAGCAGGGGATGGCAGCACAGCAGGGGATGGCAGCACATCAGGGGATGACAGCACAGCAGCAGGGTGTGAATCCGTGGCCCTTCGTGCAGCAGCAAGGGAGCGGAGCAGAGCAGCAACCGGGTGACGCTGGGGGGGATAGGAGAGCAGGTTGGGCTGGTAATGAAGGTGGTGCTACTGGCTCAGGTGGGCTGCCTCTACAAGCTGTGAATCCGTGGCTCTTAGTGCAGCGAGGGAACGGAGCAGAGCAGCAACCAGGTGACACTGGGGGGGAGAGGAGAACAGGTTGGGCTGGTAATGACGGTAGGGCTGGGAGCACAGGTGCTGCTAGGGGCTCAGGTGCTGCTAGTCGCTCAGGTGGTGGTTACAATTCAGGTGGTGCTATCGATTCAGGTGGTGCCATCTATTCAGGTGCTGCTAGGGGCGCAGGTGCTGCTAGGGGCTCAGGCGGTTGTAGCGGCTCAGGTGGTTGTAGCGGCTTGGGAGGGGTGAATATTGAGGCGGGAGATGGTAAGGGAGTGAGTGGAATGGCAGGAAAAGGGAGTTTGGTGGCTCAGCATGAAATGCATGCAGGAGGTAGTGGTGGTGTGGGAGGTGGTGAGGTGGAAGGGACGTATGAGACTGCATGTAGGGAGCGAGGTCTGGGAGGGGCGTATGAGACTGCATGTAGGGAGCGAGGTCTGGGAGCAGTGGCTGGGTTCCGTGAGGGTGTTAATGGGCATGGCGTGATCTCCAGGAGTGATTTACACTCAACAGTTCCAAAAGGACAGTCAGTCAGTCAGTCGCCAAACTCCTCCTGCGCAATGCCTGTAGATGTGCAGCAGCAGCAGCAGCATGACCAATACCACCAGCATCAGATACATCAGCAGCACATGCCTCAGCGTCAGGGACTCAGTCCTGATCCTCCATTGCAGAGAAGAGCTATCGGACTCCACAAGCACAGCAGGGGTTTACCTGCTGTTGCAGTGGGTACCGAAGATGCTTGCACTGAGGTTGAACCAAAGGTGGAGCCTGTTGAAGTATGGCCGATTATGCAAGGGGGGATGCTCGCTGGGGAGCAGCAACAGCAACAGCAGCAGCAGCAGCAGCAGCAGCAGCAGCAGCAGCAGCAGCAGCAGGAGCAGGAGCAGCAGCAGCAGGAGCAGCAGCGGCCAGAACCGCAGCAGGGATTTAGCTGTTGATACGGTGGGTACCAGAGATTCTCACATTGAGGTTGAACCAAAGGTGGAGCCTGTCGAATTATGGCCGATGATGCAAATGGGGAAGCGCGGTGGGAAGGAGCACCCAACTGGTGCTCCTAGCCCAGCTGAGTTAGGCAAGAGAGCAGCAAGTGAAGGGATCCGCCAGAAGGATATGCTGCAGCAACTGGCCGATCTTCTCCGACCTCTCTTAGAAAACCGGGTTGCGACCACCGCAGATGCTGCTGCAACCAGAACTTGTCCCACTGCCGCTCCTGTTGCAGCAATCCCGTATGCAGCTGAGGTACCCTTCTATCCGGTTGTAGCACCCCCATATGTGGCGGTATCACCCTTGAGCAGAGCCCAGCAGGGGAAAAGGCACAAGGGGCAGCACGCAGTGAAATTTGAGTACCAGGACCAACAACTCCAACATCAGGAGCAGCAGCAGCCGCAGGAACAGCAGCAGCGACAGGAGGTGCAGCAGCAGCAGGTGCAGCAGCAGCAGCAGCAGCAGCATGGCCAATACCACCAGCATCAGATGCTTCAGCAATACACACCTCAGCAACACACGCATCAGCAACACACGCATCAGCAACACACGCATCAGCAACACACGCATCAGCAACACACGCATCAGCAACACACGCATCAGCAACACACGCATCAGCAACACACGCATCAGCAACACACGCATCAGCAACACACGCATCAGCAACACACGCATCAGCAACACACGCATCAGCAACACACGCATCAGCAACACACGCATCAGCAACACACGCATCAGCAACACACGCATCAGCAACACACGCATCAGCAACACACGCATCAGCAACACACGCATCAGCAACACATGCTTCAGAGACTCATGCAGCCGGAGCAGGGACTCAGTTCTTATCCACCTCGGCAGTGAACAAGAACCGTTCCCTGCCCTCCTGTCCCTCCGCCACTTAAGACTCCACGTGAAGGAGCCGTCCAGCTTGAAACACCCTTTCAAGCCTCGCACAGCCTAGAGTATAACCACCTCCAGTCTTTACAAGGGGCTTTGGACAGATAGGAAGGGCAAGAGAGGTTATTTGTGAGAAATGTAAGGGCGTACGGTATCTCAGTTCCGGTCATAAAGCCACTTCCGGGCATCTGCGATTTGCGGATGACCCGAACAACATAAAACGCCACTTTGGGTCCTCGGAACTCATGCGACCCCCAAATTGCCGCGAGGGTTTTCGCGCCAAAATCTCCCTTCCCACAACAGTCGCATCCAATGGATGGATGCCAGAACAGTTCGCAAGATCATGAGCGACACCCACGCAAAACCACGCCACACCCACCGAAAAAACACAATCGTCAAAATTCCCGGCGTGAATCCCCAAATGTTGGGAGCGCGCCGCGGAAAATTTTAGATTCATCGAGAGTCACAGGGGTCAATTTGCCGAGTGGTTGGGTGCAGAGGTGTAGGACGTGGGACATTGCCCACTTGTGACACTCGACTAACGACCGCCTAAAAGATGGTTGTAAAACCAGAATCGTACAACCAAATGATTGGTTGGGGGTGGGTCGTGTACGTCAGTCGCCCAACACCTGCACATTGACCCAAAGCTGGGGCCGCGCGCGGCTCGGCAGCCCACTTCGGGTCATGCACAATTTCCACATGACCCAAACAGTAGCATGTGTTGGAAACGCTCACTAACTGAAAACAACGGAATGAAATGGATTGATTGGGTTGGGGTACAAATACCTAACCCTAACTGTTTGTACCCCATATAGCATAACCCACTAGAGGCTATAACATTTGACACACCCCCATAGCCTAAGTGGGGAATGCCAAGCAACCTAAGGTCACAAGACCAGTCACAAGCAAGAGAGAAAACAAAGCTCAGGGTGGATCACAACGTCACCACACAGTCTGAGCACAAACAAGGGGCCACAAGGCCAGTTCAAGAGTGTACAAGCTAATATATATGGTACAAACAAACAAGAGGCAAGAACTCACTACTGCAGTCTACTAGACCCAGTCTCAACGAGGCCTAACTGCAGACAAAACCGGCGGTGGTCACAAGGCTGAAGAGCCTTGGTGAAGATGTCTGCAGTGTTGGCCTCGGAGGCCACGAAGTCCAGACGTGCCTGTCCGCGTCTCTGCAACTCTCGAAGGAGGAAGTACCTGACGTCGATGTGCTTCACTCTGCTCTCCAGTCGAGGCTCACGACACAGGAGAATCATCGCCTTGTTGTCAGCAAACAAGGTCGGTGCAGAGCTCGGCCGCTCACCAAGGTCAGTGAGTAAGAAGGTCAACCAGCGTAGCTCCTGTGCAGCAAGGGCTCCAGCGTAGATCTCGGCCTCTGCGGTAGAAGTCGCAACAGAGGAGGACCGAGTAGACCTCCACGAAACAGCTCCAGAGCCCAGGCTGAAACAGTAACCCTGCGTAGACCTCTGAGTCTCAACGTCGTCGGCGTACGAGGAGTCGCAGTGACCGGTGAGTACAACTGGCTGTGTCCCTCCAAGTACAAGCCCCATGTCTGATGTCGTGGCGAGGTACTTCGCCACCCTCTTAGCCACCGTCTAGTGAACACGACAGTGTCTCCCAGTCGCAACAAAGCGAGAAAGGATGCTAAGAGGGAAGGCGAGGTCCGGGCGAGTGCACGTCATCAGGTACATGAGGCAGCCCACCAGCTCTGCATAGGGACCATTGGGCTCGAACGACTCGTCACGAAAAGGCCCAGTGAGTCTGTGGTCTACAGCAAGAGGGGTGGGTGTAGGAGAAGAGTGCTGAAGCCCGAACTGCTGAAGGACCTGCTGCACCATGTGTGACTGAGTCAGAGTGATGGTGCGAGCGGCTCTGTCCCTGGAGATCTGCAGGCCAAGGTAATGGCGCAATTCCCCAAGGTCAGCGCATGTGTGTCTCTTCTGCAGTTCGGACTTCACCTCCGCCAGTGCAACTGTGTCGGCTGTGGCAAAAACCAAGTCGTCAACGTAGACCAGAACGAAGAAAGGTGTGCGCCCACGACGAACAAACAGCGACGGGTCGGCGGAAGACGGCTCAAACCCGAGGTCGGACAGAGTAGAGCGGAGAGTGTCGTGCCACTCACGGGGTGCCTGGCGGAGACCGTAGACCGGTCGTCTGAGGCTCCACTGGGTCCCAGGCGGGAAGGTGCCAGTGAAGCCCGGAGGACGACGCAGCCAGATCTCCTCGTGTAGGCTGCCCTGCAGGAAGGCAGTGGAGAAGTCGAGGGAGTGTAGCTCGTAGTCCCTCTGCGCCGCTACGTGAAGTAACACCCGAAGAGTGGTCATCTTCGGGGTGGGCGCGAAGGTCTGAAAGAAGTCAACCCACTCGCACTGACTGAACCCTTTAGCTACGTAGCATGCCTTGAAGTCTGGGGGAGATCCCGGCGGCCGCTTCACCTTGAAGATCCACATGCCGTCAACTATGTTCGCCCCTGGGGGGGGAACCTCGTCGACGTAGGTGCCTGTGGACCTGTAGGAGGCCATCTCTGCGTCCATGGCAGCTCTCCACTGAGAGGCCCAAGGCCCTGACACTGCCTCAGCGTAAGTGCGAGGAGTAGGTATGTCAGGAGCGTCGGGGTCTCCCTCAGGAGCGAGGAGCATGGCACAGAGATGAGGCGAAGCAGCTGCCAGGAACTCTAGCTCAAACTGTCTGTCCTCTAGGACGTCACAGCCAAGGGCAGACTCACCCTCGACGGCCAGAGGACGGACAGGAGGAGCGGCCACAACACGAGTGGCGTAGTCAAGGCGACGCGTAGCAGTAAAGTCAGTGACAGCGGCAGTGAGGACCGCGACGGAGGAAGGAGAGGCACGAGGGTCTGTAACAAGAGAGGCGAGAACACGAGAGAGAGTGGGGCGGTACGTGCGGTAGTAGTCAGTGACCGGAGTGGATAGGGTCGCAGTGAGGGACGACTCAGGAGGACGAGGAAGAACAGACGGAGGAGGACGAGGAGGACTAGGGCAAGACAACACCGTACGGAGGTCAGTGACAGGAGACGAGGGACGAGCACGAGGAGGACGAGAGGCCCAAGTGTGGGCGAGAGGAGAGGGAGACGGAGGAGACTGAGAACGAGGGAACACAGCCGGAGCTGAGTCCGGAGGAGGAAACGTAGGACCGAACACAGGAGGAGAGGAGGAGATACCAAGGGCCCGAAGGCCAGTAACAGAGGCCGGAGGCTGCTCCGGCTGCTGCGGCTGCTGCTGCTGCTGCTGCGGCTGCTGCTGCTGCTCCCGCTGCAACTCCAACCTCTCACGCTCCACCCGCTGCTGAACCTCCGACCTCTCACGCTCCAAACGCTGCTGCTCCTCACGCTCAAGACGAAGACGGGCCTGGTGTCGAGTCGGGTAGGAGTGAGGAGGAGGAGTGGTGGCAGGAGACGAAGAAGAAGAACCGTCTCCGCCCTCGACAGTAGGAGGTGTACCCCCACCCCCAGTCGAGGTGCCTCCAGTGGCACCAGCACCAGCCCCAGACTCTCCAGCTCCAGAAACACCACCAGCTCCAGCACCACCACCAGCTCCAGCACCCTCAGAATGGGCAGCTGCGGCAAGTGCACGCTCAGCTCCAACGCCAACACCCCCGGAACGGGCGGCTCCTGTAGGTGCACGAACAGCTCCAACGCCAGCACCCCCAGAGCGAGCACCGCCAGAGCCCTCACCTCGAGCACCAACACCCTCAGAGTCCGCAGTGGCCGGTAAAGGAAGCGCTGACGGGAGACTTGAGCGGGTACCGAGGGGGGGGGAGTAGCGTGGGACACACCAGACGGAGCGGGAACAGGGGGGGGTACCGGAGGAGCAGGGGCGGGAGGAGGAGGAGCTGGAGCCAGGAAGAGGGGAGGGGGGGGAACCGGGAGACCTCGACAGGGGTACCGGACGTAGTAGGGGACGGACTCGTCGAAACGGACGTCACGAGAGTCAAAGAACCGGTGGGAGGGAGGGTGGTAAAAGGTGAAGTCAGAGGAGTCCTCTGGGAAACCAAGGAAGAAACTGGGGACGGCGCGAGGCGAGATCTTGTCCGCAGAGGTGTCGCCCGCCTCCCTGACTCCCTTCCGTGCAGTCAGGGACCACTTTCTCGCCCTTGACCCCACGGGCCTCACTGTCGACCTGCTCGAGAAGCATCTCCTTGCAGCTGAGACTAGCATAGTCGCTGTAGCTGCTTCTCGTGGCACTCCTCGCACTCCCTTCTTTGAGGGGTGTTCCCCCTCCCCCCTTGCTCCCTCGGTCGCTTCTGCTGCTGCTGTTGACTTCCTTCGTGCTGAGGAGGTCGGGGCTGCGCCTACTCCTAGTGGGAGGTGCCGCAGCGGCAAGGGCAAGGGAGGCAAGGGTGGTGGGGGTGGCGGCGGTGGAGGCGGTGTTGGAGGCGGTGGAGGAGGTGGAGGTGACGGTGGTGGCGGTGGGAGTGGTGGTTGGGGTGGAGGCGTCGGTGGCGGCGGCAGTGGTAGTGGTGGGAGTGGTGGCGGCGGTGGTGGCAGCAGTGGGAGTAATGGCGGCGGCAGTGGTGGGGGTCGGGGTGGAGCGGTCCGGAGGGGAGGTTCTGGCGGTGGCATCCACGCGAGACCCTTATGCCCCAGCAGCTTCGTGAGTGGTTTGCTCAGCGTGGGGCGTCTGGGGGTAGTGTTCGCTGCCCGTACGTCATTCGCACAAGTAGGTAATCGGGCTGGTCAGACATGCGGGAAGGTTGTGTTGAGATAAGCGGTAGTCTTAGGAGCCATAGCTAGGAGAGTCCTAGCTAGGCAAGAGAGTTTAGGCGAAAGAGAGGGGTTGCACTAGCAAGAATGGGGATACAAATAGCAAACCCTAGAAGGGTTGTACTCGCTACAGAGCACCCCACTACAGGCTAGAGCATAATATTCTGACACACCCCCATAGCCAAAGTGGGGTGTAATCAGCAGAGCAAGCAAAGCAGTACAAGCTCAGGGTGGATCACAATGTCACCACACATTCTGAGCACAAGTTTAAGAAGCAATAGTTTAAAGTTCACAATTATGAGCAAAGCTAGTGGTAGTCACAACGGGGAAGTGAGGAGGAGGAGGGCTGGCGAGAGGAGAGTAGATGGGAGGCGACGACTGAAGCTGCAGTCACACGGGCAACAGACGGCTCTGGTGCGACACAGTGGCTACCGGGAGTGAGTGCCCCGGAGTACAGGAGTAACAGGCTCCGCGGCTAAGACGAGCAGCAGGAGCAACGGACCCACAGGCGACGGCGCAACCGGCTCTCTGAGCTACCGGGAGTGAGTGCCCCGGAGTACAGGCGCTGCGTACGACACGACGGCAACCTCCCCTCAACCTCCCCCAACAGTCCCACATCCCTCGACACACACCCGCTGCTACACCGCTAGCTCCACTCCCCCTTCACCCCCCCTTAGTACCACTCCGACGGCTCCAACAGGTCCACCCCCCTCAGCGGCAGCTGCAGCACAGGGAGACGGAGGAGGAGGAGGAGCAGGGAACGGCACACAGAAGCTGCACCCCCATACCCCCCAACCCCAAACCCTAATCCAGGAGAACGGGCAGAAGGAGGGGTGGGGCGCCTTCAGAAGCACGGGGGACAGCGGGGAGGACAGGGGCAGCGAAGAACGGGGCGCCCACGGGCCTGGCACAGCCTCCCGAACCGCGCGCAGGCGGTCCGAGCCGCGCGCGGGACTGGCGCAGCCCGTACGGGCCGCGCGCGTGCCTGGCGCAGCCCGTACGGGCCGCGCGCGGGCCTGGCGCAGCCCGTACGGGCCGCGCGCGGGCCTGGCGCAGCCCGTACGGGCCGCGCGCGGGCCTGGCGCAGCCCGTACGGGCCGCGCGCCGGGTGTACGGGCCGCGCGCAGGCCACGACGGGCGACGGGGGGCGACGCGCGGGTCCCCGTCGCCCGTCGCAGCGCCTCTTGGGGGCGACGTGCCGAGTGACGGGGCAGGAACCCGTCGCGCGCCTCGGGGCACACGGCGGGCAGAGAACCGCCGCGCGCCTCGGGGCGCACGGTAGGCAGAAAACCGCCGCGCGCCTCGGGGCGCACGGCGGGCTGAAAACCCTAGTTTCGACGCCGCGCACCACGGGGCGCGCGGCGGACAGGGAGTAGCAGTAGCAGCGGAAGCAGTGAAGTGGGCCCACAGGCCAGGAACGTTAAGCTCTGATACCATGTTGAGATAAGCGGTAGTCTTAGGAGCCATAGCTAGGAGAGTCCTAGCTAGGCAAGAGAGTTTAGGCGAAAGAGAGGGGTTGCACTAGCAAGAATGGGGATACAAATAGCAAACCCTAGAAGGGTTGTACTCGCTACAGAGCACCCCACTACAGGCTAGAGCATAATATTCTGACAGGTTGGTCACACTCAGTACCGCTACTTCTCCAGTCTTGATGACGCCTGGCGCGCAGAGTATGGCGACGAGGCTGATATTTCCCGCTGGCTAGAGCTGCTTAGGAACGATGTGGATATCTTTGCTCTTGACTATGACGCTATCCTTGCTGGCATGTATGCTTTGACTGTTAGTGGTGACTGTTACTTGTGTGTGCCGCCCGACCCAGGTATAGAGGCTGCTGCTCTAGGTGCTAGTGCGTCTGCTCTCTCTGGTACTGCACCTGCTGAGGCCTTGCACACCTTCACGCTTGACTCAGGTGCTTCCCGCTGCTTCTTTCGCGACAGTACCACAGTCACACCACTCCCTGCACCTGTTGCAGTCTCTCTGGCTGACCCCTCAGGGGGCCCGGTTCTTGCACGTTCCTCTGCTGTTCTCCCGTGTTCGGCGGTTCCGTCTGGCGCACTCTCAGGTCTTTACCTCCCCTCGTTCTCTACGAACTTGGTGAGTACCGCTGCCCTCCAGGATGCGATGGTCACTACCACCACTCCTGGGGGTCAGCGTGTGTCGATCTGCACGTGTGCACGGACAGGCCGTCACCTGGCCACGTTCACCCGTCGGCCTGGGTCGAGCCTGTACACACTGACTACTGAGCCTACTCAGGTGGCTGCGTCTGGTCAGGTGTCCGCGTCAGGTCAGGTGTCCCCGTCAAGTCAGGTTGCAGCCCCCTGTTCGTGTCGCCTCCTCACGCACCAGACTCTCCTTTATGCCACCGCCTTGGTCACCCCTCCTTGCCACGCCTCCGTGGCATGCACTCCCGCCTCCTTGTCTCTGGTCTTCCCATGCCTCTGCCTCCCCTCCCACCCTCGCCTGCGCCTCCCTTCCTTCCTTGCGTCGAGGGGCGGCAGCGCGCCGCTCCTCATTCCTCCTCGTTTCCCCCGACGACTGCTCCCCTGCAGACTCTCCATATGGACGTGTGGGGCCCAGCCCGCGTCCGTGGACAGGACCATGAGTGATACTTTCTGCTAGTTGTTGACGACTACTCGCGTTACACCACAGTCTTCCCCTTGCGCAGCAAGGGGGACGTCCCTGATGTCTTGATCCCTTGGATCCGCGCTTTCCGTCTCCAGCTTCGCGAGCGGTTCCGCCAGGAGCTTCCTGTCCTGCGTCTGCACTCTGACAGAGGTGGTGAGTTCTCCTCAGACCTCCTGCGGGACTTTTGTCGTGGGGGGGGCATCCTCCAGTCGTTCAAGCTTCCGGCCTCCCCGCAGCAAAATGGGATTGCTGAGCGCCGCATTGGCTTAGTCATGGAGGTGGCTCGTACCTCCTTGATCCATGCGGCTGCTCCCCATTTTCTGTGGCCGTTTGCGGTCCGGTACGCTGCGCATCAGCTCAACCTCTGGCCCCGAGTCTCCTTGCCGGAGACCTCGCCTACACTACGTTGGACGGGGGAGGTTGGCGATGCGGTGGTGTTCCGGGTCTGGGGCTCACGTTCCTTTGTCCGCGATTCCACCGCAGACAAGCTCTTCTCTCGCCCCATTCCCTGCGTCTTCCTTGGCTTTCCTACTGATGCGCCTGGTTGGCAGTTTTACCACCCCACCTCGCACCGTGTTCTGTCCTCTCAAGACGTCACGTTTGACGAGTCGGTTCCCTTTTACCGTCTATTCCCATACCGCACTGCCCCTCTCCCCCACCCGCCGCTCTTCCTCGCTCCAGGTCCCCCTCCGGTAGACCCCCTCCCCTCTCGGGGTCCTGCTCCTTTAGGTGTGTCTCAGGTAGACCCACTCCCCTTGGCTGAGCCGTTGGAGGTCACTTCCGACACCTCTGGCCCAGCTGAGGGGGGTGACGTTGCTGCTATCGACGTGGCACCCCCCCGCCGCTCACCACGCTTGGAGACCCCTCCGGGTTTTCCACCTCGACCGTCTTCGCCGCCTCTGCACCCGATTTCTGTCAACTCTGGTGCTGCTGGGGGTGGTGCTGCTAGGGGTGCTGCGTCTGGGGGTGCTGAGCTTGAGGGTGCTGAGCCTGGGGGTGCTGAGTCTGGGGGTGTTGAGTCTGGGGGTGCTGAGCCTGAGGGTGCGGAGCCTGGGGGTGCTGAGCCTGAGGGTGCGGAGCCTGGGGGTGCTGAGCCTGAGGGAGCCGAGTCTGGGGGTGTTGAGCCTAGGGGTGCCGAGCCTGAGGGTACTGGGTCTGCGGGTGCGGAGCCTGGGGGTGCTGAGCCTAGGGGTACTGCGTCTGCTGGAGGTCCTACGGGTGCCTCGCCGCCGAGGTCTAGCCGGCAGGAGCCTCTCTCACCACAGCAGCTGCGCGAGTGGTTTGCTCGGCGCACCCCCATTCGGCGTGGCGCTGCTGGAGTTGGAGGCACTTCCGCTGGCGGCCCTGGAGCTGGAGGTGCTGGAGCTGGAGGCGCTGGAGCTGGAGGCGCTGGAGCTGGAGGCGTTGGAGCTGGAGGCGCTGGAGCTGGAGGCGCTGGAGCTGGAGGCGCTGGAGCTGGAGGCGCTAGAGCTGGAGACCCTGGAGCTGAAGGCGCTGGTGCTAGAGGTCCTGGAGCTGGAGGTGCTGGCGCTGGAGGCACTGGAGCTGGCGGTACTGGTGCTGGAGGCACTGTGCAGCAGCGACCAATTTTCTTGTCGTCGCCACAGCCATCACTACTACCTCCTGCCTCGCCGCTCCGTCAGGTACTTAGTCTTCGGGTGTTGAGCCTAGGGGTGCCGAGCCTGAGGGTACTGAGTCTGCTGGTGCGGAGCCTGGGGGTGCTGAGCCTAGGGGTACTGCGTCTGCTGGAGGTCCTACGGGTGCCTCGCCGCCGAGGTCTAGCCGGCGGGAGCCTCTCTCACCACAGCAGCTGCGCGAGTGGTTTGCTCGGCGCACCCCCATTCGGCGTGGCGCTGCTGGAGCTGGAGGCACTGCCGCTGGCGGCCCTGGAGCTGGAGGTGCTGGAGCTGGAGGCGAGGGAGCTTGAGGCGCTGGAGCTGGAGGCGATGGAGCTTGAGGCGCTGGAGCTGGAGGCGTTGGAGCTGGAGACCCTGGAGCTGAAGGCGCTTGAGCTGGAGGCGCTGGAGCAGGAGGCGCTGGAGCTGGAGACCCTGGAGCTGGAGGCGCTGGTGCTAGAGGCCCTGGTGCTGGAGGTGCTGGCGCTGGAGGCACTGGAGCTGGCGGTACTTCTGCTGGAGGCACCGTGCATAAGCGACCAATTTTCTTGTCGTCGCCGCAGCCATCACTACTACCGCCTGCCTCGCCGCTCCGTCAGGTACTTAGTCTTCCTTCGTCCACTGCGTTACAGCCAGACTCACCGCTGCCTGCCCCCCCTCGTTACACTGAGCAGCCAGCCTCCCTTACAGAGCGTCGTGAGTTTGCGTCTCGTCCTGTCACGCCTGCTCGCACTGGTCGTCGTGTCTTACCCTCATCCTCGTCCTCCCCCTGTGCCAGGTACTCACACTATGGCACTTCGTCCTTCCTCTGTTCCACTGCGAGTTCCCCTGCCGTCTCCTCCGGCGTCCTCTCTTTGTGACGTTCCGGACTCTGAGTCTGACTTGGTTCGTGCTGCCAGCCCTACTGTCACGCGTCTCCTAGCCACTGTTGTCACTGACCCTTTTTTTTAAGCCACTGCTGCGTCTGCCTTTGTTGCCGAGCTTGTTGACTTTGCTGCTGCGTGTCGTCTAGACTACGCCACTAGTCTTGTTGCTGAGTCTGAGTTTGTCTGTCCTCCGTCCGTCGAGGGTGAGTGTGCTCTTAGCATGGACGTCCTTGAGGACAGGCAGGAGGACTTTGAGTGTCTTGCAGCTGCTGTACCTCATCTCGTGGCCATGCTGCTTGCACCTGAGGGAGACCCGGATGCACTGGACATCCCGACCCCGCGCTCTTACGCAGAGGCGATTACGGGTCCCTACTCCTCTCAGTGGCAGACAGCCATGGACGTAGAGATGGCATTCTAGAAGTCCACATGCACTTACGTCGATGGAGTTCCCCCTCCTGGGGCGAACATAGTTGATGGCATGTGGATTTTCAGGGTGAAACGGCCGCCGGGTTCTCCGCCTGTCTTCAAGGCTCGTTACATTGCACGAGGCTTTAGTCAGCGACAGGGAGTTGACTTCTTCCAGACCTTCTCCCCTACCCTGAAGATGACCACTCTTCGGGTGTTGCTGCACGTTGCCGCTCAGTGTGACTACGAGCTTCACTCTCTTGACTTCAGCACAACTTGCCTACAGGGCAGCCTACACGAGGAGATCTGGCTGCGCCGTCCTCCTGGCTTCACTGGGTCGTTTCCTGAGGGTACCCAGTGGAGCCTCCGACGGCCAGTCTACGGTCTCCGCCAGGCACCTCACTGAGGACGACAATTGCGTCACTTGGGTTTGCTCCTTTCACTGCTCACCCATCGTTGTTACTGCGCACCGACACCTCGCTGCCGCCGTTTTACATCCTCGTGTACGTCGACGACTTGGTCTTTGCCACTGCTGACACTGAAACACTGGCCCTTGTGAAGTCGGAGCTGCAGAAGAGACACACTTGCACTGACCTGGGTGAGCTGCGCAGCTATCTTGGCTTGCAGATCACCCGGGACAGAGCACGACGCACCATCACCCTGACTCAGTCACACATGGTGCAGCAGGTCCTTCAGCGCTTCGGCTTCCAGTTCTCCTCACCTCAGTCCACTCCTCTGTCTACCAGCCACTCGCTCTCAGCTCCACCTTCGGACGAGTCCGTAGAGCCGAGTGGCCCGTACCCAGAGCTTGTGGGCTGCCTCATGTACCTGATGACCTGCACTCGACCTGACCTTGCGTACCCTCTTGGCATCCTGGCACGCTACGTTGCGCCCGGGAGGCCGCTAAGAGGGTCTTGCGCTACTTGTGTAGTACATCGGGCATGGGGCTGGTGCTTGGAGGACAGGGTCGAGTTGTCCTCACTGGGTACTCAGACGCGTGACCTGGTTACGTAGCGGTCGTCACAGGGTTACACTTTCAGCCTTGGCTCCGGCTCTGTTTCTTGGCGGTCTACCCGCTCGTCTTCTGTTCTCAGCTCCACTTGTGAGGCTGAGATCTACGCAGGAGCCATGGCTGCACAGGAGTTACGCTGGCTCACCTACCTGCTGACCGACCTGGGAGAGCGGCCTCGTTCTCCTCCAGTTCTGTACGTAGACAACAAGACTGCTATTGCCTTGTGCCATGAGCACAGGCTGGAGCACAGAACGAAGCACATCGCTCTGTGTTACTTCCTTGCTCAAGAGTTGCAGCAGCGTGGTCAGCTTCGTCTTGCTTACATGGCTACACGGGCCAACACTGGTGATATATTCACCAAGGCACTTCAGCCTGGTGATCATCAGCGTTTCTGTACTGCTCTAGGCCTTGTGCCTGCTTTGTCTCACTTGCTCGTTGCGTGACTTTGCTTGTACTGTGATCTATATATACATATACCTGCATGCTTACACTTGCTAGGTTGTGATCACTGTACTGTTTGTTCTCTTTTATATAACTCTGCATGTGAACTGGCCTTGTGGCCATTTTCTTGTGCTCAGAATGTGTGGTGACTTCGTGATCCACCCTGAGCTTGCTTTGATTTTCTTGACTGGTCTTGTGACCACTTGTTCTCCCCCACTTTACCTATGGGGGTGTGTCAAACATTACATGATAATGTTTATGTTGTGTAGGCTGTAGTGGGGTAGCCCATAAGGGGTACAACCCAATTAGGGTTAGTACTTGTACTCAGCTTGTTCTCAATGCATTAATTCTCGTTCAGTATTCTGACAGTTATAGTAGAAGGGGTAGCAGCGGCAGCAAGAGAAAGAATGGTGGATTTGATAGCATCGGTAGATGGGTTCGAACTATCAGGTCTAGAGGCGCTTCTACTGAATTTGAAGGGAGAAATGGGTGCCATTAGCAGCAGGGTTAGCGGGTTGAACTGGCAACTCATTAAGAGTATGATGAGCACCGTTCAGTTCAAAAGCAGTGGCATGCCCATCAGCCAACCACTCGTGGTACTGGCACCATCCTTGGCACAGACACAAGTTTTGGCACTTGCACCATCTGTGGCACTTGCACCATCTATGGCACTTGCACCATCCATAGCACTTGCACCATCCGTGGCACTGCAGTCTTCTCCATTTACTCGTATCCGTGCCATGCCTGAACGCTAGTTTGCTTCAGAGGAAGGGTTTGCTGTGGCATCGACCACAGTCCACACAGCCAAAAGTACTGGCCGCAGTGACGGCACATGGTCTAAGGGGCGAGACACCTTGTTACTGCCAGAATCATTCTTCCCAGCCTTGGGAAGTATGTCAGTGGGTTAGACACGGGCAGGTGGAGCAGGAGAAGCAGGAGACAAATCAGTTGCAGCAGAAGCAGGAGACAAATCAGCGAGTGCAAGCTGGCTTGTCGATGTATCACGGGTATCACAAATGGAGAGTCAGGAAATGAGCAGCTGTCAGGGCACTGAAAGAATGTTCTTTTCCAAAAGGAGTCATGAAGAGGACTGCTGATGCTTGTTGGAAACAAGTTTTTCATGATCTTTTGTCTCTCAGGGGGCTGTTAGTCAGCTAGAATTGGCACTTCAAGTTAGAGGTGATTACCTTCCATCTCCCTGAAAGTGAGCAAGTAAACCGAGGTTGAGTGGACAGATCCCAATATGGAATTCCTTAGGCTGCCAAGGGTATAATTGATACAGGTGCTAATTATAGGCTGCGCCTACATTCGTCCTATTCGTGGTTCATTCTTGCGTACGCACATGGAATTTCATGATGTAAATGTGCAATTATATGTCCAGTGTAGAAATTTTATGTGGCAATATATAAAAACTCATTGGATTCGTCGGACATTACTTATGTGGTCTAAAGATCTAGAATGAGGCAGAATTTTGAAAGGCTCAAGGTTTTTATACATTGTTGACGAAATAATACTGCCGTATCCCCCTGGATAGTAGCGCATATGCGCTTATAATAAAATCACCCTTTTTAGGGGGGGGGCTTGTAATTGAGGATAGGGCATAAGCGCATGCGCGTATAAAATGGAAAAAAAAAAAAAAAAGAGAAAAAGAAATTTGCTTTTAGGGGTACCAAATCGAAGCCCTTTCTAAGGAGAACACGACTGTGAGACGTTCACGTGTGTTCGTGCATGAAATGCAGGCAAAAACAGCCGGACTCGAGTTCCCACCACACAAAACCGGTCCCTAAGCAACGGATCTGCCAACGCTTACCGGGAAGCTGCCGTGCGGCCCAATCAGGAACCAAATCGATGCCAGACAGGTTTATCGCAATCGATCCCTTTAGAAGGGGGTCAAATATGCCCTGCCAGCTATTGTTGTTCAGGATCCGTCACTTCGAGAGCTTACGACGAACTCATTACTCAACTAAACGCAAATCCGCTCGGTAGGATTGTGCGCCTTAGTCTTAGCTACCATCTCCAATTCGGATCACTTCAAAAGATGGTCTAGAGAGTGAGAACCATTCGAAAACGTCCAGCTGCTGCATGACTAGAGTGGTGGAGGAAGTACAAAACATTAGGGCATAGAGAGTTGGAGTTGGGGACTCCAAGAGAACCATGAGAGGGAAGGGGTTCTCCAAGAGCTAGGGAAGGATGGTAGGAACCTTCCTAGCAGCAAGGATGCAACCCTCATCATGAGGTCCTTGAGGTGTCACATGCAAAATCCAATCTAGTTGGATTTTGCCTAGGTGTTGCAACATTTGCAACCCATGCTAGAAACTTCTAGCCACCCCAATCCAAAAGTCAAAGTTGCCTTCCTAACCACCCAACCAAAGATCCCTTTATAGTCATGTCCCAATAATCACCCAAATTAGATATAACCCCAAAAGGTAATAAGAAATCCAAATCTTGGAAATCTTGTAACTTGGGCGATCTTGGTCGGAATAAGGCGATCTTGGTATCGTTGGAAAGCTCTGGATTTCTCCTGCATGATCAAGCATTTAGACTTGGAGAAAAACACAGAGATGATAATATCCAACAGCCATGCACAATGACATATGCTCATGCAAATCATGCACGCATGGATAGCACGAGCACTCGGCAGGACGTTAGGATGACATGCACTCAGAATGACGTGCATCCAACAAACTCCCCCTCAGACTAACGGACTGCATGCACACACACAGTCACACACATGCACTCATGACACTGCTGCTCACACTAGTGCAATGCCATGCCACACATCTTAGCACACTTCCAATGTGCGCTCTCAAGAAGTCTTTCAGTGAGAAAATCTGCCGCCTGCTTGCTAGCCTTCACATGGTGAAGCTCAACAATCCCCTCCTTCACCATCTGCCTCACCCAGTGCCACTTAATCTTCATGTGCTTGTTCAGCCCATTCAAGATAGGATTATTGGCCATGCCAATAGCAGCCTCGCTGTCGGAGAAAAGTGGTGTAGGTCCCTCCTGTTCAGCTCCCATGTCCTCCAGCAGCTTCCTCAGGAGCACGATGTTTTTTATGGCATGGTACATCGCCATGTACTCTGCCTCTCCGGAAGACTGAGCAATCTCACTCTGCTTCTTGGACCTCCAGCTCACTGGTCCACCTCCGACCATGCACACAAAGCCCCCAACCGATGTCTGCTCCTCATCCTCTGAGGCCCATGTGGCGTCGGTGAAGCACGACAGCTTCAAGGTTCCAGGCGTGACCCCATCTGCTCCAATCTGTTTTAGCTGGCCGCCAGCTGAAAACTGAACACCAGCAGATGCCGTTGATCCGAGGTAGCGCACCAAGCGCTTTGCCACCTCCAACTGCTCCTCAGTGGGCCGCTGCACAACTCTGGCCAGCTGCCCCACTCCG